TCCTGGTCAGTCGTAAGACCGAACAGGGTACGGGGTTACAGCCTGTGCTGGACGGGGTCACACTCCCCCTGAAAGCTCAGGTACGCAGTCTGGGAGTTCTCCTGGATTCATCGCTGAGCCTGGAACCCCAGGTCTCAGCGGTGGTCAGGGGAGCTTTCGCACAATTAAAACTTGTGCGCCAGCTGCGTCCGTACCTTGGGAGAGCTGACTTGGCCACGGTAGTACACGCTTTGGTTACATCCCGCTTAGATTACTGCAACGCTCTCTACGTGGGGTTGCCTTTGAAGACTGCCCGGAAGCTGCAGCAAGTCCAACGCGTGGCAGCCAGATTACTAACGGGGGCTGGATACAGGGAGCACACCACTCCGCTGTTACGCCAGCTCCACTGGCTGCCAATTAGCTTCTGAGCACAATTCAAAGTGCTGGTGTTGACCTATAAAGCCCTAAACGACTCCGGCCCTGTTTACCTCTCCGAACGTATTCTCCCCTACGAACCATCAAGATTACTAAGATCATCTGGAGAGGCCCTGCTCTCGGTCCCACCAGCCTCGCAAGCACGGCTGGTGGGGACGAGGGACAGGGCCTTCTCGGTGGTGGCCCCACGACTCTGGAACTCTCTCCCTCTGGAGGCCAGAACTGCCCCATCCATCCTAACATTTAGGAAACGGGTGAAGACGTGGCTGTGGAGTCAGGCCTTCGAGGAATGAGACAACACCATAGGACTCTGGATGGAAGTGATGTAGATCCATCTTAATAGGACGACTGACCACTGTAGTTTTATATATAGTGTTTTTAAAGTTGTTTTTGTAATTTTGATATATGATATTTTAAATGAGTGTATATGTTTTTTATGGCTGGAAACCGGGCTGAGTCCCTCAATGAGGTTGAGAAGCTCGGTATACAAAACTGTGAAATAAATAAATAAATAAATATTTCTCCAACTTATCATGAAGCCTTTCTGATTAAGTTTTAACTTCTTTGGTTTATTTATTTATTTAGAACTTTTATATCCCATTCTTCTCTACCTCCGTGGAGAGACTAACAGCATGGCTAACAGCAGAATTCAATGCAATACAATAAATAACATAATAAAACAACATACAATAAATAAGTTCTAAAATACATATAAAACAATTCATCACATTAAAAACAACATCCATCTCAGTTTAGTCTCAACGGGATTGCACAATGATGATATAAGGACACATAAAGAGCCTTGCTGGACCAAACAAAAAGCCTCTCTAGCCCATCATTCTGTTCAAAGAGAGGCCAACCAGGTCATTATAAGGAAAGAGGAAGTTTGGAGAGATGGCAGTAGTACCCTTCCAAGAAAAGGTGTATTAAGGCAAACTACTTAAGACAAAGAGCTAATGTCGCACAAACAGAATAATCAAGGTGGAAAAGTAATGTGCAAAAGGATCTTAAAGCACCTTAAAAATGAACAAAAATGAAGTTGATAGCATAAGCTTTTGTAGATAAAAGGCAGTTCTACAATGACCACTTAGGGACAGCAGCGGGTTTGCCTGGATGGCCCTTGTGGTCTCTTCCCATTCTGATTCTATTATTCTATGGAACTGGTTTGGCAGTCATTGATTTCATGGTGCAGATGATTAGACTGTCATTTTTGGAGCAGGTTTGATGGAAGGTGGCCTCAAACTGGTTCCAGAATCCACAGTATCTACAGGCTGATAACCACAGAGAATGTGGGTTTCTGTACCCCCATCCCCATTTCCAGATGAGATGCACACAAAGCACTTCTGAGGCATATGAGGTGGAAAAAAGGACCAGAAAAGAAACAGCACTGGAGGTAATCAGTTGTTCTCTGCTGCCCAGCCATGTCTTTGGGGCAATTTTGGCAGTCCCCACTCCTCCACATTCTGAATTTTATGATGCTCATCAGTTCGTTGAAATGTGCTTTGCATTCTCCATGCAATGTGGTTTAGATGTTGCCCACACTGTGCTACATTCAGGGGCTTACTTCAGTGTTTCCGGTTTCTTTGCTTGATCCACTTTGATCTCCTTAATGTGTACTGCAGTGTGTTTTGTAGCATGAGTTATCTAGCTGCTGCAGCTTCAAACTACATTATATGGTCAGTGTAGATGAGCCCTAAGCCTAATTCCTCAGATGCCATTTAGTCTATAAAAGCTTAGACTACTAACATATTTATCTCTGTCTCTAAGGTGCTACAAGAGCCCTTTGCATGCTGATATTCCAGATGGCTGTGGGTGTATTAATGCAGTTAATACTAAGGGTACATCTACACTGTAGAATTAATGCAGGATGGCACCACTTTAACTGCCATGGCTCAGTGCTATTCTTTGGCGGGGAAGGCTGAAGACCATTTAAAACTACAACTCCCACTGGTTCCATAGCATTTAGCCATAGCAATCAAAGTTGTGTCAAACTACGTCAATTCTAAAGTTGGATACCCCCTGAGTCATGCAATGGTTTGGTGTCCTCTGCTTTAGATTTATTTTAATTAACATCTGCAGCTTGGGGGAGTATTTTATTCAGAATAGTGGCATATACAGTAAATACAGTGTTGTGCAAGAGCAAAAATAACATGAAAGAAGCCCCCTAATGTAAACATTATAGAAAAACAGGCAGCTTCTTCATGCCCAGAACAGACAGCATGACCATCGTGACCATGATTGAATTGTGGAAGATTTCGTTTCAAATTCTTGTAAGAGCCATAGGTCATTTTGACCTGCATTTCAGTGTGAAAGTGACTCAGCTTTTACATAGCAACTGTTTCTTCTTTTAGAGAAGCTGACCTGAGTACAATTACTTGGAAGAGGGCCCCCTTTCAACTTAGTAAGAAAATTCTGAGGGGAAAGCCAGAGCCTCAGGCTACATGCCATGGGGAGAGGTTTGAAAAGTTACTTTTATGGACTTCAGCTTCCAGAATCCTCCAGCTAGCATAGCCAGTGAGTTGCACTCTTCAGAATTAATTTGTCCCAGCTCTCAGAATGGGGTGTAGTGAAATATATAAGAAATAGGCAACTCTATTAGGATTTCTATTATCATCATAAATCAAGAATGGGAAATGTGAGGCTCTTCAGACTACAATTCCCAGCATTCTTCACCATTGATAATGTCATCTACAGCTGGGCAGAAATTCTGGGCAAGAACTCTTAAGCAGTGTTTCTCAACCTTCCTAATGCTGCAGCCCCTTAATACAGTTCCTCACGTTGTGGTGACCCCCAACGATAACATTATTTTCGTTGCTACTTCATAACTGTAATTTTGCTACTGTTATGAATCGTAATGTAAATATCCAATATGCAGGATGTATTTTCGTTCAATGGGCCAAATTTGAAACAAATACCCGAAACGCCCAAATTTGAATACGGTGGTTGTGGGGGGGGGGGGGGGAAATTAATTTTGTCATTTGGGAGTTGTAGTTGCTGGGATTTATAGTTTACCTATAATCAAAGAGTATTCTGAACTTCATCAACGATGGAATTGAACCAACTTGATACACAGAAATCCCATGACCAATAGAAAATACTGGAAGGGTTTGGTGGGCATTGACCTTGAGTTCTGGAGTTGTAGTTCAGCTAAATCCAGAGAGCACTGTGGACTCAAACAGTGATGTATCTGGACCAAACTTGGCACGAATACTCAATATGCCCAAATGTGAACACTGGTGGAATCTGGGGAAAATATAATTGGCATTTGGGAGTTGTAGTTGCTGGGATTTATAGTTCACCTACAATCAAAGAGAACCCTGCCAAGGATAGAATTAGGCCAAACTTTCCTCACAGAACCCCCATAGCTTGAAAGGACTTGCTGGTGTGAGCCTACCTCTCACTTCACATACTCTCCCTCACCTGCACATGCACACCACGCTGCCATGTTCACCTACAATCAAAGAGCATTCTGAACCCCACCAATGAGAGAATTGGGCCAAACTTCCCACACTGAACCGCCATAATCAATATAAAAGACTGTGTTTTCTGATGGTCTTTGGCAACCCCTCTGACACCCTCTCATGCCCCCCCCCAGGGGTCCCCTCCCCAGGTTGAGAAACACTGATCTAAAGGGTCCTATGGGGCCCTCCCCTGCCATGAAATCTACCCCAGTGTATACATTAACATTCATCACCAAGCTTGAGATAACTCAGTCATTTCAATAAAATAAAATAAAATAAATGGCCGGAATATCAGAACAGCACCATGTGCAATAAATAAGCTCTAGCTGGACCTTTGTCATAAATCAGTAATGATTCCCTGCTTTTTGGAACGAAAGCATCAAGGCTGTGTAACAGCAACAAGTCTACCAATCTGTTTCCAGCTGATAAATATTGAAAGGGAAGACTTCCCACAGGAAAAGTCTCCCTTAAGACAAGTGACTGAGTCATGAAATCGTGCACAGGGGCTCACAACCATGCCCCCATTTTCACAGTCCTTCACTCAATGTTAAGGTGCTCGTGTTATGTCAGAACACACTTTACTTGGTTCTCATTTGCCCATTCCAATTATGTGGGTGGCTTTTGCTGAAGGATTATGGTTGCCACTTCTGGCCATTTTTCCTGCTGTGAAGCACTAGGCATTTATAGACAAATGACTGGCAGATTCTGGCACTGTTACTAAGCAACCCAAGCCAGGGTTGAAGTAAAGTGGACTTGTTTTCAGAATGGGAATACCCGCCTGATGGATGACTGCCTCTTTGCCATCTTGCTTTGACTGCAAAAAGGTTTTGAAGGAGGTGAAAAATGATCATGTCATACTCCACCTTTGCTCTTCTGAACTCTAATGTGATGTGTCTGCTTTGCATGTATTTATGACACAGAGAAATATTTCCTTTAGCTTCAGTTGGAGCATTACAAATCCTCATAGTCTGAGAGATTCAGTGGGAAGTGCAATGTTGAGAAAGAAGAAAACAGAAAAGGCCAGGTGCTGAGTGATCAACTGCATGATCTTGGGAGCAACAAACTGAACTGGGTGCTTTCCATCTAATGCCTAACTGTGTTTAATGCCTGTTCTTTCCATTGCAGAACTTGGCAAAGGTGCAAGAACCAAATCTATCCTCACCACCCTTCTCAAGGTGCCCCTGATGCTTGGCTTTTTGTACCTGTTTGTTTGCTCCCTTGATGTACTGAGCTCTGCATTTCAACTGGCAGGAGGTGAGATTCGCCTGCCGATCTAAACTGCTTTCTTTTTATTTTATCCCATATCAGATTGCAAAAATAGTGTATCTTTCCTTTTAGTGTTACTAATCCCACTTTCATGTAGCTGCCGTGGATTCTGCTAGGCCCACCTTGCTATGAAAGCAAGCAAGGCCAAAGCAGGTTCCTTTCCTCCATATGTCACTTGCCTGCTGGATAGAAAGTCCAAAATACTCATCAGTCTCTTTTTAAACAAAGCTATTAGAAAGAGAGCCTTTCAGACAGGGAGTATTCTGAAGGCATTTAGCAGCTGCACTGCTTTATAGCAGTGATTTCACCAGACAGTGATGATGGTGGTGATGATTTCTGCCTTTTACAAGCTCAGGACTCAAGGCAGCTTGCAACCGTGAAAATAGAACATTTTTAAAGCACAGCATGCAAAGGAAGAAGCAAAATACAGTCCTCCAGATGTTGTTGGGCTGCAGCTCCCATCAATCTTAGGGCCCTTCCTGGCCCTTCCACGTAACCCTATATCCCAGAATATCAAGGCAGAAAATCCCACAATATTTGCTTTGAACTGGGTTATCTGAGTCCACACTTAGATAATGTAGTATTTTCTGCCTTGATATTCTGGGATATAGGGTTGCGTGGAAGGGCCCTGAGTTAACATAGCAAAGGATGAGGAATGCCAGGAATCGCAACTCTGACAGTATCTAGAAGGCCACACTTTTTATCACCCTTCAGTTATTACTAGTGAGTGACCAATGATGGTAAGTGATAGCAGTTTCTGTCCTTGCTTTCTTGAAAAGGACCGGAAGTTTCCATGTATCTTTCTTTCATCATGTTAGAAAAACAGTTTAGAGAAGATGAGTCTCATTGGGAGGAAGAAAAGAAAAGTCAGATCATCCTGCTTGCTTGCTGATTTTTATTTATATATATTACATATAAATAAATAAATAAATTTATTTATGTGGACAAGGTGCTTGGAGGAATGAGAGCTACCACATGCATCCGAGACCCCTGCCCATCCTGGCTTCTAAAGGAGGCCAGAGGGGGATTGGCCGAGTGGGTGAAGGTGGTGGTTAATGCCTCCCTTCGGGAAGGCATATTTCCAGCCAGCTTAAAGCAAGCTGTGATAAAACCGCTGTTGAAAAAACCATCACTGGACCCCACTCAATTCGTCAACTATCGGCCTGTTTCCAATCTCCCCTTTTGGGCAAAGTCCTGGAACGTGTGGTGGCCTCACAACTCCAGGCATTCTTGGTAGACACGGATTATCTGGATCCGGGACATGGTACAGAGACAGCCTTGGTCGCCTTAGTGGATGATCTCCGTCGGGAGCTCGACAGGGGGAGTGTGTCCCTGTTGGTGCTACTCGACCTCTCAGCGGCCTTCGATACCGTCGACCACGGTATCCTTCTGGGACGCCTCGCGGGAATGGGTCTCGGAGGTACTGCTTTGCAGTGGCTCCAGTCATTCCTCGAGGGTCGGTCTCAGAAGGTGTTACTGGGGGACTCCTGTTCTACCCCACAACCTTTGCATTGTGGGGTTCCTCAGGGTTCAATACTGTCTCCCATGTTGTTTAACATCTACATGAAGCCGCTGGGCGAGATCATCCAGAGTTTCGGGGTGCGGTGTTGAAGCAGAGGGTCTCCAATTCCCAAAAATCCAGGAGATCAGTGAAGAAGGAAGAGACAGAGACAGCATTGCAAGTTCACAGAATTTTAATGCTTACCCGGGTAAGGGCACCACAGCTCCAACCTGGCTGATGTGGTACAAAGCACTAAACCCAAGAACATCAGTATTTATAGGCAAAATTACCCAGTTCGCACATGCGTACAACTCACTTGACATTTACACAATCTAATCAATTTGGCCTCGAGGCATCACAGCCAGGAACATTTGTTGGCAAGTACACTTGTTGGCAAGATAATACAATTTCCACAACTTCCCCTTACATCATCTTGACCATGTTCCCCGATAACTTACATTAAAAATGAATCTTTAAAATGAATCATAACTTCTCCATACATCATATTATATGATTCCACACATCTTCTTATATGTATCTTTAACTTATTCAAAGCAAGCATTTCCCTTATTAGTCCTTCTTTTAATTACAATTCACCAATATCTTAATTTCCTCAATTGATCATTATAAAAAGGTATATTAAATTTGTCTACTAATTACTTCAACCAGACAGAAGGTGGCGCTGTTATACCATATCTTCAGATGTTTGCTCTTCTTGGATCAATAATTACCAATTTGTTCTTGGCACCAACCCCTTTTAACCTTCCACATTTAGCCCAGCTCCGGCCTTGGCTTCCTCAAATATTGACTTAAGATACAGCTTCTCTTGCCTTGCTCCTGTCCTCCATACCATCTGTCATTTTCCCTTGCACCAGAATTACCTCTCCGCACCCTTAAGAACTCTTCCTAAGGTAAAACTTCATTCTTTCATTAATTTCATTAAATTATAATTATTTTTCTTCTTAACGACTGCCACATACCCCACAAAATCTTGTGACGAAGAAAACCTTCACTTTTCGGAGTCACACCCTAAGTGTGATTATATCACCTTATTTCCCTTGGATAACTGTTGCATCTCTTCTATCTCCATAGTCATAAGTTGTTTCAATTGACTTCCATGTCGGGCATTTGCTGTAGTAACAATTCTTTCAATCATATTTCTTAAGCAAGCAATCACACAAGGTAGTAGGAACATAATCAGAATACCAATTATCAAGATAACAAATCCTACAACGATGAGGTCTTTCAACCATTGGAAATTCGGCAACCAATCAGTTAACCAGCCAAAAACACTCTCTCCCTTTGGGGCGTATCCAATTCTGATGGTAGATACTACTTTCTGTATCTTATTTATATCAGATTCAACCTCTCCTGATTTGTTGATATAGTGGCAACATGTGGTATTAAGAAAAGAACATAGTCCTCCTTCTACAGACAATAGGTAGTCCAAAGCAAGTTTGTGTTGCATCAGGACCCCTGCCAAGGAATCAACTTCCGTCTGCAGAGCTCTTATTCCAGCCACAGTTCTGTTTGCCAGCCTCTCCACTTGAGCCGAGAGTCTCCGAATCTGCTTTATATTTAGAGCTACGCCCACAGCAGGGAACAAGATGGCTCCCAGCCTTTCTCCTTCATTTAAATAAGTTTGGTCTGGGTCATATCCAAGTGTTTCATCATAAGCTCTTTTCAAACGCTGTTCTTCATGCTCCTCCCTTCTCCAAGTCACCTGGGATTGTTGTTCTGGGTATATTGTCACATCTGCTAGCATCAGGGTACCAATCGTGCACGTACCTTCCCAAAAAGGCGGTAAAATCTTTCCTGCCCATTGTCCACAGATCCAATACAATCCCTGAGACAAGCCTCCCTTGGCTATCAACGATTTAGGCACTTCCTGGTGGGCTTCCACCCCTTTTACCACTTTTGCAGGATTTGATTCTCCTCTACTCTGCTGTGGCCTTTCAACAGGTGGTTCCCCCTGGCCCTGAGGCAGCCCTTTGATAGGAGYCTTTGGTGRATCACGACTCCTACTGGCTACTTTTGCCTGGRCCTGTTTAATGTGAGTGCCCAATTCTGGTGAAACAACTCCATCAAATCTTTTTACCCTTCTTGAGTGTTCCAAACGGGCTAGGAGGCTAATGTCTTCAGAAACCTCTGTTTTGAATACATGGAGAAGGAGATTGCAATTGGGATAATGACCAAGTTCTATTTGGTGTGTGTGGAGAGGGTTGTCCCTATCTTGGGTCCATCTCTCATCTTTCTCCCAAGTAATGCATGCTGGGGCCTCCGGCGAAGTCCCTTCATACGTTACTATAGCTTGTCCTGGATCAAGTAAAGTTTCAGTCATCTCATAATTTTGAGGCCGTAAAGTGCTCCATCCTTTTTGGCTTAATAATGTTCCTACCATTAGTGGCCATCCCTCACGCTGGGAAGTAGGCCCATGACTACAAATCCAACATTCAGTAACTTCTGTTTCATTCGCTATATCCCGAATCATCTGGTGGAATATATTCTGCTCCCATCCTCCCTACACTAACTTCGGGGCAATCACACTCAACACAATCAGGTAATAAGTATTCCACATTCCAAAATGAATAAGCTTTCCCCCATAAAACATGCCTATAATAGTAAACCACCCAGACCAACCCCAAGATAATAAGGAGTCCCACAATCACACTCCCCTCACCAAAAAAGTCCATTAAATCTTCTTTCTTCTTTCTTCTTTCTTCTTGCTTGATTGCAGTTTCAAAAACCAAGTCTCTCTCTTATTCAGGGCAACTTTATTCTCTTATGTTTTAAGTCTTTGAAGTATGTCTTTTTATTTTATTTATGTATGGTTTAATTAGTTCTTTATTCAATCATCCAACTCTTAAGTTTATTTGCTGTAAGTCAGGGTCCTCTGCTGTGTAGTCTTCTCTCTTAAGCAAGCTTAGTTCATCCTCAATTTGACACTTCCTCGTACCAATAGGAATTCATCAAGTAGCAGACCCCTTTCACTCCTGTCTCAGGTGTCACACTCCCCAGGATCTTTCAGCCACTTTAAATCCTCTGGTAAAACAGGGGGATACTGTAACAAGTAATTAATTAACATTTTTAAAATCTGTACTTCTTTCCTTGATGCTTAATCCTCCTCCACTTTCACATCATATTGCAACAGCTTATCTTCATTCTTCTACCAATTCAATTACTAACATTTTTGAACCTTAAAAAGCATCTCAATATTTTAGCAATTTAACCCCATAACATTCAATTCATCACAGCTCTCCCCACAAAATCTTCTAAATTTAAATGCATCTCAAATTGTCACTACTTTTTCTCTCTCTCAAACAGTTTCAAAACTAATATCAATTTTTTTTTCCAAAAAAGTTTTTCCAATTTTTCTTTCCCCGTGAGGGCATTCAAGTGGCCATTCTTGAATACTCTCAGCACATAATTTCCCTTTTTAACCCCACCAGGCATTTGCAAACAATCAACCTCACACAACCTCACACAACCTCAACACAACCATCTTATTCATCCCAAAACTGATTTCATACATACACTCATTTATTCTTTACTGCAATTCTCTTCTCAAAAAGGAATCTAATCATTCAGTTCTCACACTTCTTAATCTCACACATCTCAACAGTTTTTCTTTCATTATCTTTAATCCCTCTTTACTTCTGTACTAACATTTCATCACTACTGTATGACTTTCTTTTACATTCCCATTCTCCCTCTTTTCACTTCTTTTCCCACATGGTAATCACACACTCTGGTTTTTCTCCTGTGATTAACCAAATTCTCTCTCTTCTGACTTACTTTTCCCCTTGCTTTCTCAACATATTCTCAACATACCTTAACTTTCTTCTTGGGTGACTTTTCTCTTACCCACATACTTGGTCTTTCCCCATCATATGTATGGTTCCAGGTTTTTCCTGAATTATCCTCTTTTTCCTTTTATTTGAAACCTGTAAAGATTATTTCTCTCAACACTAACAGCTACACACATTCTTTTGGCTAGCCATACACACATTCAAGTTTTCAGGAAATGCAAACAAACATTTTCCCTTTTTCCCAAAAGACAGACACATATTTCACATATATTTTTCTTTTCTCTTTTCCTTTTTTTTTCTCATTTCATCATCATTTCTTTTTTTCTTTTGGCTTTTTCTCGGAAGCCTATAACCATTAGTCTCTTTTCATTTTGAACATACTGACATTTAACAAAGAAACAAAGCAAAAACAGAAACAAACATACGGTTGCAAAGCAGCTAGAAGGGACAATGCATATAGACACATCCAGATTCCACAATACACAACACATAGGATCAACATAACAATGTTTCCAACCTGAACACTTTTTCCCTTTTTTAAAAAGTGCACTTTTCCCAACCTAGGAGTGAGCCTTCTGTGGTGAAAGCGACACTCAGGGGTTTTTTTTTTTTCTTGAGGTCTGCAGTACCTCTTTTGAAAAAAACTGTTCCCCCAAAAATGTTTCCCCAGGCATTTCCACAAATGCCTATACCTTAAAAAGCTAGCTTCTCCCTTTTTCTGGAACTGCAGCTGTTACTTCTCAATGCACTTCAGTCAAGGGGCCGAGGAAGGAACAGGCCAGTGGAGGCGATTTTTTTCTTGTGGGTACCCTTTTTCGTCTCCCCTGATCCATGCCTTGTCCGGCCCACCGAGTGAGAGGCATCAGCCCCCAAAAGCTTACCTTTCCTTCTTCCTGTTCTCCAGCCCCACGTTGGGCGCCATTTTGTAGCGGGGAGGGTCCCCAATTTCCAATAATCCAGGAGATCGAAGAAGAAGGAAGAGACAGAGACAGCTTT